GACTTTTGACACGGTTTACAGTATTAAATGTTTTAAAATGATGAAATAAAAATGAGGGCCAGGGAGATAGCTCAGTGGAATAAGTGCTTGCCTGGCAAGTGCAAGGTCCTAAGTTTGATCCCTGGTACCACCAAAAAAAAGAAAGAAAGAAAGAAAGAACAGGTTCGACAGTTGAAATGTTTCTAAAATCAAGTATCTCCTTAATAAGCCTGTTTTTTGGTGTAGTCATGTGTGCCCCATTGTTTAATTCAGGTTTGAATAAACTGCGAAGTTGTGCCTTGTATCCAGTTAACTCTCTTAGCTCAGTTGAATTTTAAAATGTTCAAATTTGGAGAAAATCAGCTTTGCAAATAATACATCAGGCTTTCAAGATTATATTGATCATGCCTGATGATTATAGCATGCCTGATGACATTGCTATAAGAGGCATGAATGTATAACCACCTTTCAGCTTCTTAGTCTTGGTTTTTAAGGATGTAATCTGTAATTTGATGTATGTTGGTTTTCCCAGATAATTGAAACTTAATTATGTAACACTGTTAAACAATGATTATACATTTTAAAAATTATTAAATTATTTTATTTTAAATAAATTTCTTTTTCAGTCTGATCTTGTGGATCAAAGTATATTTAATTTTATCCCAGAAGGAGAACATTCAGAGTTTTATAAAATACTCTCTACCCATCTGCTGGAAAGTGATTCATTAACTCCTGAATATTTAAAATGTAAGTAGTAGCTGTTAAGCAAAACTCCAAATGTTGTATTTAATAACATTGTCCTTTACTTTTGAAAGCTTATGAAAAAAACATTCTTAATTAAAAAATTTTCCATGTACCCTACAAGGTGTTTTTTAAATATTATAAAATGGAACTATGTTCACATTAAAAGGCTGGGTACAGTGACATGTGCTTGTAATCCTAGCATGTGGGAAGCTAAGACAGTACAATCATTGGGAGTTCAGACTACAATGAAATATGTTTATCATAGTAAATGTGAATAGTTGTATCACAATTATGCCATACATTGTACAGAAATGGAACCTGGCAATATATTTTTCATTTTTAAATACTATTATATTTAATGAGAGAAAACGAAACAGTCTCATTTTTGTCATTATTAACCAACTGGGCACTTGAATTGTAGGGACAGTTTCTATATTTCTTTTACAGATATTAAAAAGAGGACCAGCCAAATAGCTCAGCAGATTAAAGGACCTGCAAGCAGGTTCAGGGGCTGGGAGTTTATCTCCTGGCCTACTATGCCAGCCCCGTCCCCAGGGTGTGCTAAGAGGGCAATTGAGACTGGACGTGGTGGCGTGCACCTGTAATCCCAGACCTTGGTAGACTGTAAACAGGCAGATCACTATGAGTCCGATCTCATAGACCCTTCCCTAAAATATAAAAGAAAAGTTATTTATTAAGCTGAATTTATGTGCCAGGCACTTGTGTTATAGTACTAAAAAGTGCCAAGAATAGTGTAAAACAGACCCTGTGGCCAAGAAACCCAAAATATTATGGTTTAATCAGACATTTCTACTTCATTGGGCAAGTCAATTTGATCAGAGCACTTCATTTTCTTCACTGTTTTATGCTGTATTCAAAATTGTTAGTATTACACTTTTTACCTATTAAATACCTTTTATCATTTTTGCATGATTTTAAAATTCCACTTTTTCTGATAATGGCAGTAACCAATTATCTTAGAGATTCTTTGTATTAAATCCTCAAATTCTCTAGTGTACTAAGATTGGAGATATATATACTTAGCACATAGACATATAAAACATGGAAGTTATACTCAGGAGGATTTGAGGAAAAACTAGAGACCCGGAGAATCTATTTGGAGATTGTGCCTTGTATAAATTTTTACAAATAGTTTGCATGCCATTGACTACCAGTAGGCCACTCAAATCCAGTACTGAGGGAAAAAAGGCCTCTAGGCCTTCTATATACCCACGTAATATTCAGAATCATGGATTGAATGACATTGCTTGAGTAATTGAGGTTAATGTGTAGAGAAACAAGAGAAAAATTGGGGAGTTGGGACCCTAAGAGATAACAGGAAGACAGAGGAGAAAAAAGTTGGCTGTAAGGGGCAGAAATTTGACTGGAGGGGCTGGGGAGATAGCTCAGTAGAATAAGCGCTTGCCTGGCAAGTGCAAGGGCCTGAGTTCAACCCCTGGTTCTGCCAAGAAAAAAAAAAAAAGAAAGAAATTTGACTAGAGAACTTAATCAAAGCCTCTGGCATACTGGGACACTGAAGGAGGAGGTTTGTAAGTTTATGCTAAAAGAATAAACACAAGTTAAAACAGGGTAAATTGCTTGGAAATTGCTATAAGTCATTTAGGCTAAAATGAAGATGATGAGGTGGTACAGATAATACAATTTGGGTTTAGAGAAGGAAGTAGGAAAATGAAAAAGGAGTACTATTTCACACTATGGAGTTTGATTTTGATTTTTTATGTAGTAGAGAGCCAGTGAAGATTTTAGTAATTTTAGTGTAGGGAGAAACTTTTTGAATAAAGGACCATACTGGGACAAAAAAGAGAAATTGTACAGTTGTTACAGTAGAAGTAAGGTTGGAGAGGAACATATGTGAGTACCAAGTATGTAAGCTCACTAAAACTTGCCTTTAAACACTAGGGACTGTATCGGGGAGGATTTGGGGAAGACCATGACAGTTGAATTTTGAACCTTTTCAGTTGATAATAAAACTATTTACTGTGCCAGTGAAAGAAGAGCAGGAGTTTGATAAAGTGACTGAAGGAGTTAATAGTCCTTAAGTATAGAAGCTAGGTGATAAAAGTATTGGTCAAAGAATAGTAGGCAAGAATGAATCAGAGGCAAGCATATCTTTATATCTTATGTAAAGATATAAAGGAGCAAATGTTTTTACTTAGATGCAAAACCATTTGTGATTTGCTCTGTACTGGGTTGATGATATTAAAAGCTTAGTTGGAAAAAAATTATGAGAGTTTCCTTGGTGAAATAAAAACCAGGTCTTAGTGACAGATTAGTTTTGGGATTTGTAATGGGAGCAGAAGAGGCCATATCAACATGAACATAGGATTCCATATGGTTCCTTCCCCCCCCCCCACTTGGCCACCCCCCAATATGGTTTCTAACTTGGGAAATATACATAAGACGAAGGGGGGCCAACTGACTTAGGAGTGTACAGGGTCTCACTACCTAGATACCTAGATCTGACGCATAGTGATCCTTCTATTTACAGGCTCCCAAGTGCTGGAATTAGGGATTACAGGCGCATGCCACCACACCCAGTCTCAATTGCTGTCTCAGCACGCTCTGGGGGTGCGGCCAGGACTGGCTCCGCAGGGCTGGGAATCGAACACCCAGCCCCTGCATCTGCCTAAGCAGGCGCTTTAATCTGCTGAGCTATTTGGCTGACCCGAAAGCCACTAATTTAAAGATGGATTAGCAGAAGAGATAGGAATAGTCAGTAAAGTAAGAAGGCAAATACATGTTATGCAAATGAAGTATGAATTTTAAGAAGACCTAAAAGCTGAGGAAAAATTATTGAAATTATCAGTGCAGACATTAGTCCTCTTGAGTAGCTGTTGTGGTAAAGATGTGAGGATGGCACCTATAGTACATGACATTAAGGGAAATGAATTTGTAGAAACGAGTATATACTGAAAAGGAAGGCTATCTGTGATACTAAAAAGATTAGCATGATAATTCTTTGTTTGAGATGGAAAACATCTGAGCAAATTTAAAACAGGAAATAAGGACCCAAAAAGAATATGTAGGTACTAAAGGAGTGAGTGACAAGTGGCATGACCCTGGTTCTGGAGAAGATAGGAAAGACTTTTCACAGTAGAGAGCAGGGAGTTAGCTTCAGACTGGCAAGGAATACCTTTCTTTGAAAGAGAAGAAAGGATAGATGAAAATAGAGAAACAATGAGTTGTTTGAATAATATGGCATTATCTTCTAACTGTGCTGTACTTTTATGAACTAAGTAAAATGTTTCTCATCGAAGACTAATACTGAAGAAAATAGTTGTGAACTTATCCAACTTTTATAATCTTACTTCATGTGACAGAATGTAATCATTATAATAATGATTATAATAAGAGGTACATGATTTTTTTTACCACCTTTCAGCAAAAAACCAATTGGAATTCTGTTGCCATATGCTTCGAGGAACAATAGACCCAAAGGAGCCATCTACTTATGAATATGTGAGATTTATAGGAAATTTCAAATCTTTAAACAGTGGTGAGTTGAATTACTTCTTTTACAATTTTAATTTCATGCTTTTGTAAACTTTTCACATAGATTCTTGAATATGAGTAGAACTAGTTTTTGCTGGAATTGCTGATGATACATATTTCCTTATGGTTTTAGTTTCCACTTCAACACATAATGGTTTTGAAGGAACCATACAGCGTACACATAGGCCTTCTTATGAAGACAGAGTTTGTTTTGTAGCTACTGTCAGGCTAGCTACACCTCAGTTCATCAAGGTATGTTTCTAAATTGCTCAGCAGGAATTATATTCATACTATGAGAATTGTCTTTATGTAACTTTTTATTGTCTCCAGCATGTCTGAAACTTTGTGTAGTAGTGGCTAAGAGTCATTAAGATATTCATGAGATACTTTTGAAACTATGAGTTATGAGAGTACTTGCTAAATGTAACTGATTTTTAGTATATATCCTTTGTGGTTAATCAGTAGTTGCACATAAGACCACCACCCTACTTTTGCAAAATTTAAGGGTGCTTTTGTATATTATTCATGGCCTTCATTAAAAGAAAAAAAATTTGGAGCCAGCCAAGTAGCTCAGCGGATTAAAGCGCCTGCAAGCAGGCACAGGGGCCAGGGGTTCAATCCCAGGGCACACTTGAGAGGGCTGTTGAGACTGAGAGTGGTAGCACACGCCTGTAATCCCACACTTGGGAGACTGTAAACAGGAAAACCACTGAGTTCGATCTACGTGGGGAGATTCTGTAGACCCTGTCCTAAAAAAAAAAAAAAAAAAAAGGAAAAAGGAAAAAAGTTAAAATTAAGTAATTTCAAATGTCCAAGTATATTTTACTACAGTTTACTGTTTAATTTCAGAATTTAAACAATGTGGCCTTTTTTTCCTGTGACCAACAAGAAAATGATTATTAGGGAAGTGGGAAAATGAAATACTAAACAATGGATAGTAAGGCTAAATTTTAAAATTTGGGAGGCAGCGTAGTGTAGAATGAAGTACTGGGTTAGCAGTTAAAGATCCTTTTTTTTTTTTTTTTTTTTTTTTTTTGGCGGAACCGGGGATTGAACTCAGGCCCTTGCACTTGCCAGGCAAGCACTTATCCTACTGAACTATCTCCCTAGCCTCAGCAGTTGATTATTAGGGAAGTGGGAAAATGAAAGTTCTTAAGAGCATTATTTTGTTCTGCATGTTTTGTTTTTAGGAAATAGTATCTATGGCTAACTTTGGAGCACTTATTGTACACTTTACATGCATTTTAATTTTATAACAACTGTGTGAGTTAGATGCTCTTATGATCTCTATTTTATCTATTAGAGAATCTGAGGAAGGTTAAGAAGTTGCTTGTCAGTGGGGCCAGTGAGATAGCTCATTGGACTAAAGCACCTACTTAGGCAGGCGCAGGGACTGTGGTTTGATCCTGGCACCGCATGCCACACCAGCCCCAGGCGTGGGGGCACATGCCTGTAATCCTAGCAGTTGAGAGACTGAAGCAAGAGGATCACTACAAGTCTGAGCTGTGTGGTGATGACCTGTAACAACCAAGTACATTTAAAAAAAAAAAGTTGCTTATCAAAAGTCTAATCTGTTAAGTGAACTGAAACTTGATTCTGATTATTTTCCCCTTTGTGCCTCACTTGTTCACTATTACATTATGATGCAGAGGGTTACTTAAGGACACAGGCGTTAATGGAGTTGTGATACATTTATTATGGCCAGAATCTAGGGTCTCTACAGGTAGACAAGTAGAGATAGTGAGAAGTAAGGTTAGGAAAGTAATGACTAGCCATGTTGCAGATTTTTTTCATGTATTTATGGGCCATTTGTATTTCTTCCCAGAAGTATCTTATCATTTTAGTTGCCAACTTTTTGGTTGAGTCCTTTATTTGGGAGGGGTCTAATTTTTTCGAGTTCTTAATTTATTCTAGATGTTAGTGCTCTGTCTTCAATTATAGTTTGCAAAATTTTGTCCTATTCTGTAGACTGTCTCTTCATTTGTTTGTTTTCTTTGCTGTGGGGAAGCTTTTTAGTTTTATATGTTCCTATTTGTTAACTCTTCATGTTATTTCTTATGCAATTGGAGTCCTATTCAGAAAGTACTTTCTTACACCTTTGATTTCAGGAAATTTACTTACCGTATCCTGAAAAAAGTAAAGTGTTTGTCTTTTTCATATGTAGATCTTTGATTTTTATGGCACTCATTAAGAAATCAAATAAAAAGTATTGGGAGGCAGTGGTGAAAAAGGAACTCTCCTACATTGTTGGTGGGAAAGTAAACTAGTACGACTATTATGGAAATCAGTATGACAGTTCCTTAGAAAACTAAAAATAGAAATTTCAATCAATCCAGCTTTTCCCCTTTTCCTAAAAGAATTAAAAGATGTAATATTATAGTGGTACATGCATACCTGTGTTTATAGTAGTCCAATTCATAATAACCAAGTCTTGGAAGCATCCTATATATTCATCAACAGATGAATGGATAAAGAAAATGTGGTACTTGGACACAGTGGAATATTACACTGCTATAAGAAGAATGAATTCAAATCTCTTGTAGGAAATTGTTAGGTCCTTGGAAACATGTTAAGTGAAATATACCTACAGACTTAAATACAAAACGGTTTATCTTAAAGTATAAATAAAAACAAAATAAAGATATAATATTTAAATGACGGAACTAAACAAAAGAAAAAGGGGGGGATACAGATGAATGACCATTTTGTATCTGTGTAGGATAGATACACAGTTACATTCTCTTAATTCAAGGAGTAGAGGGATTTGTTCTCATAGTGTTTGTAAATAGGATATTATGTCTGCATCTTGTACAACAAATAACCACTAGGAAGATAGCATGCAATGTGTTAATTATTGAAACTGTCCTAATTTGATTTGAAACTGTCTTATTGCTGTTTGTTTCTCAATAAAATTATGAAAAAAAAAAGAGGGTGGTAGAAAGCACAGCTAGAGCAGGAAACAAGGTCTGGAGCCCAACAATTTCAGAGATAACTTGATGTCTGCACAGTCCTACAGATAACCCACTATGACTATTGGACTATATTGGATTATTTTGCTGAATCATGTACCTACAGTATTTAAAAGACAATGGAATACCCATCTATGACAAACTAAATGAAAATGGAGGATATAAAAGAAGGACCATTTTGTATATTCAAAATAGTTAGGGTAAATATACAGCTACTTTCTCTTAATTCAGTGAGAAGTAAGATTTGTACTAATAGTGTTTGGACAGGATATCAGGTCTGCATCTTGTACTATGAATAACTGCTACAAAGACAACAATTGCAGTGTATTAATTATTGTAACTGTCCTACTATCCTGTTTTGAAACTGTCTCATTGCTATTTGTTTCTCAATAAAATTAATTTTAAAAAACCCTACAGACAGTTAAAAAAATAAAAACTGGAAAATCTCTTTAAATTTTAATTGTTAATTTACTTGCAGGAAATGTGTACTGTTGAAGAACCCAATGAAGAATTTACATCTAGACATAGTTTAGAATGGAAATTTCTGTTTCTAGATCACAGGTAACTTCATTTTTTTTTTTTTTTTGTAACTTCATTTTTAAATTTCATGAAATGATAACCTTCATGATTCTTGAAACAAAGGCTTTAAGAATAACCTTTTTTTCTAATCAGAACTTTCAAATCCATTTTCCATTTTTTCAAAAATAAAGCCCCATAAAATTTATTTATAGTTGGAATGTTACTTATGGAAAAATTACAATCTTGATTATTTTATGTAATTCAGGGCACCACCAATAATAGGATATTTGCCATTTGAAGTTCTGGGAACATCAGGCTATGATTACTATCATGTGGATGACCTAGAAAATCTGGCAAAATGTCATGAACACTGTAAGTAGATTTTAATATTTTGGGTGATAGTATCTTTTTCAAAATCATTTAGGCAGAAATCTTGTCCTGTTAATGATAGGCAGTAAAATGCAGACTTACAACAACCATTTTTATAAATATGTAGAATAGGAATAAGTTTAATTTAAATTATAGATATCAAAATAATTATAGTAAATTTTTAAAATGAAGTTTCCCAAATTAATTTAACCAATTTTTCCTTAACATCTGTTGAAAATGACTTCAAAGGCCCTGAGTTCAGTCCCCAGTAGCATAAAACAGAAGAAGATAAAAAAAAGAACTTCAGAATTTAAGAGCCACAGAATGCTTTGTGAAATACTACACTTGAACAGTTACTTCGAACAGTGAAGTGATTCTGATTATGCTTATTAACATTTAGAACTAAATATCTCAGAGGTATACCTGATGTTATTATCTATGGGGAAAAAAAACTCAGATGTTATTACTTACCTGCTATTACCATCAGTACATCTGGGGAGGAGGAAATCAGCAGTGTGAATCTTTGTGTGTTTGGAAATATGCTGTGTGTGAAAAGTGTTAAATCAATGATAACTGGCTATAAAGTTGGCTACTGTGCAAGCCAGGTACAGTGTGACACATGCCTGTAATCCCAAAAACCTTGGGAAACTGAGGCAGGAAGATTGCAAGTACAAGCCCAGCCTGGGCAAGTGAACAACTGAGCATGACCTTGTCTCAAAATTAAATTAATTAATTAATTAATTAAAGGCTGAGGATGTAGTCCAGAACAAAGGCCCTGAGTTCAATCCCTGCTACTGGAGGGAAGAAATTGGATACTGTGGAAGATCTGATAATTGGCTGAAATCTTAAACTAGATCTAAAAAATAGCATTTCCTTAAAATTGTTGTGTTTTGGAAATGCCAAAATAAATGTATTATAGATTTAAATGTAAATAATTAGTTTTAGTTAAGAAAAACTACTGATCAAAGAAAATTTTTCTTTTCTTTTTAGTAATGCAGTATGGAAAAGGTAAATCCTGTTATTATAGGTTCCTGACCAAAGGACAACAGTGGATTTGGCTTCAGACTCATTATTATATCACTTATCATCAGTGGAATTCAAGGCCAGAGTTCATTGTTTGCACACACACTGTAGTAAGGTAACAATCCCTCTAGAATATTTCTGAAGTATGCTAATGTCCTATAAAATGATTTTCACATTGTAATTTTAATTCATAAATTGTAAACTACAAAGTGATCTTTTCCCCAGTTTTTGATGCAGTTTTTCATTATATCATTAAATTTATGTATAGGCCTTATATAGAAGTATAATACAGTTATTAGGTAGATACATACTTGATATAAATTTTGTGTTTTACAGCAGAAGCTGTACTGTCCTTTGTATGCCATACTCATTCATGCAAAAGGAAAACTGGAGTAGATGAACATAGTCTTCTTTCGTTTCTTCTTAATTTACCTGTAATGTAGTTGTGGGATATTTATAGTAGCATATGAAACTTTGAGATACTTAAAAAAATGCAAACTGGATTAAGATAGTACCCTATAAAGATATATTAGGTTTGTGTAGCACATAGAAAATAGTCTAATTTGTGATGAGCAGGTGCAACACATAACAAACACTGAATTGTTGTAACTCCTTGATATGTTTAAGTAAATAACCAAACACTGAAATTTGACTCTTTGCATTTGCAGTTATGCAGAAGTAAGGGCTGAAAGACGACGAGAACTTGGCATTGAAGAGTCTCTTCCTGAGACAGCTGCTGACAAAGTATGTTTTTTAGTCTTTTTAAAAAAATACTTATTTCATATATTTCCCAAAAACACTGAACAGTTGATAGGATTATTTTTTAAGTACTTCATTTTCTCAGTTGTGACAGGGATATGATTGTACTTTACTGTTTGTTGTCATTTTTAATTTAATATTTAAGTTCTCATTTGCTTCTAAGAAAGAATTGAAGACCCTCTGACATTTAGTAATAGTCAGGTGAGAGATATATGTAATCTCAGATTTTTCAGGTGTATAATATGCTAAGTACTGGCTAGGTTCTTTATATAAATTATGAAATATGATGTACTCCCTGGAAGGGAATGTCGCTACTTTGAAAACTTTGAAACTGACCTCTCCTAAGGATATACTGGGAAATTATAGTGGGAATTTTAACTCTGGTTCCTTTTTATTATGTCCTGTAGAAATAGTATTGGTTGTCTATTACTATGTGACAAATTAAAATAGTGATGTAAAACATCATGCATTTATCATCTCATAGTTAATGTGGATTGGGGATCCAGGCACAGTTTAGCTGAGCTGTCTACTGGCGGGTCCATAATGAGGGATACAGGGAAGATATTCTTGAAGACAAGAGTCTTAGTGTTCAGCTGAAACAGAATCCACTTCCATCTCAGTCAGTGATTATTGGCTGAATTTTGTTTTTGTTGGCTCATTTTGTTCATCATAGGCAGTTTAACTGAGGGCCTTGATTTCTTGACAGCCAGAGGCCACTGTCCTCCCTTTCTTTCCAGGTTACTCCTTCCAATAGAGAAAGCATGCAAGCAAATTCAAAGAAAAAAATGCCAATAAAATGGGGGTTTGTTTTTAAGATGAGTTAAGTAATAGTATATTTTGGGGGCCTGCCCATTAGCTCAGGTGTTTAAGTGCCTGCTGAAGCAAAGCAGTCAGGCTGAGGATGCTGTGGTTCGATCCCCTCATCCTCAAGCCAAACCAGACCTGCCCTGAAGGCAACCTGAGCAGCCCAAAAAATAATAATAATAGTATGTTTTCATACTAGTAAAAATGACCTGATGGAGAAGGAAAAAATGATGAAGAGAGAAATGGAAATGTGAGGACAGTGTGCTGGTATAGATGAGAGAAATAGTACGTAAATGGAAAGCTGAGCTTTTGCTATGAGGGACAAATTATTCATGTATAGCAGGTTGACTCTCACTGACCCTCTTCATTGAGTTTGTGAGGCCCATTACTTAGACATGTTTTTTACATCAGAAATCAAGAGTGTTCTGTGACTCATAAGAGGTATACCACTTTTAAATTCCAGTGTTCATAAATAACAATGATACTCAACTTTTCATTTGTTACCTCTAAGTTGTATTTGGACTGCAGTAGCAGAATTGGTTATAACAGACTATATGGTCCACAAATCCTGAACGCTGGATTCTAAAAGAGCCAGTATTGTAAAAAGATCTGGCTCATCCTTAATTTATAGCAACATGAGGAAAGGTAACGAAAATACCACATTTTCACAATCACACTCACTTTGTCTTTCCCCCCCCTCAGTCCCATGTAAATCCATGTTGCATTATTGCAACTGCATATATCTTCAACTCCCTAGCTCCTCTCTCCCTTCCCTTCTCAAAATCTCAATGCTGGTTAACCCATCTGGTAGGTAGAGTATTAGGAGCCTCTAGGAGTACTGAGTAAAATAGGAACCAGAGTTACCAGTTTAAGTGTAAAGTTAGGAAAGTTGCTGAAGGTTTGAGAAGAAAAGAAAAACTGCTAACTGTGTAGGAGAGTAGGAAAATGAATGTTCTAAGGAATTACAATCAATTTGGTAGGCAGTTTAAAAGCTGTACTTCTTTTGTTTTGGAACTGGGGATTGAACTCAGGGCCTTGCGCTTGCCAGGGAAGCGCTTATTCCATCGAGCCATCTCCCTGGCCCAAGCTGTACATTTTTAACCCACATGTGGTGATGCACGCCTGTAATCCCAGCACTTGGAAGGCTGAAGCAGGAGGATCATTTCAAGTTCAAGACCAGCCTGAAAGGGCCAGGGAGATGGCTCGGTAGAATAAGCACTTCCCTAGCAAGTGCAAGGGCCTGAGTTTAATCCCCAGTTCCGCCAAAAAAAAAAAAAAAACCAGCCTGAGCTAGAAGGTGAGTGGAGGGTGAAAGAATTAAGGTATGTACATATGTGTACAAACTCCACACAGTAAATATAATCATTATGTACTGCAGATATGTATAAAAATGATAGTTCATTATCATCAAGTACTTTCCCACTGTTGTACACCTGTCACCACTACCCATGCCCGGAACTGTTTAATCTTAGCAAACTATAGCTCCATACATATTAAAACCTTCTCATCCCCCTCTCCTTCAGCTTTGGGCAACCACCATTTTATTTTACAATTTTGAATTAGACTACATATAGCCTCATAAAAGTGGAGTTACACAAAAATTTCCATTTCTAGCATGCTGTTTCACTTGACATAATATTCTCTTGGTTCATCATGTAACATGTGTTGGAATTTTTTTTAAAAAGAGGTAATATTCCACTCTATGCATGTGGCACATTTTCTTTATTTGTTCTTCAACAGATAGGTGGATTATTTTCATCCTTTGATCATTTTGAGTAATGTGACTAGGAGCACAGATATACAAATAACTGTTTGCATTCCTTATTTCCTTTCTTTTGGGTATATACTCACATATCGTAATTCTGTGCTTAATTTGGAGAGTTTCTGCCATATAGTTTTCCATAGTTGCTGTGCTTTTTGTTTCATTTTTGTTTACATAATAGCCATTCTAATGGGTACTAGGTCATACCTCATTGTTATGACTTATATTTCCCTTACTGTTGAGGTTGAGCATCTTTTCATGTACTCAGTGGTCATTTGCAGTCTTGTTTGGAGAAATGTTTATTTTATTTTTTGTCATTTTCTAAATTGTTATTTTTCATTGTTCACATATAAGGCTTCTTTATAATTCTGGCTATTAGCTTTCTTTCTTTTTTATTGTATTTTATTCCATAATTTTATTGAGATACAAATAGCAATGAGACAATTTCAAACAAAATTGGTAGGACATTTACAACAATCAACACATTGCATACATTCTTCCTAGTGGTTAATTGCTGTACAAGATGCGGACTTGATATCCTATTTACAAACACCATTAGAACAAATCCCTCTATTCATTAAGAGAATGTAACTATATATCTATCCTAACCACTTTGAATACACAGAT